CCTTGAGTTTCACATCTGCAAATTCAACCAACCATGGATTGAAATTAGAAAAGAAAATTTGCATCTGTACTGAACATATATAGACTTGTCGCTATTGCCAGATAATAGAGTATATAACAACTATTTACATAGCATTTACATTGTATTAAGTAATATAAATTATCTAGAGGTGATTTAAAGTACATGGAGGATGTGAATAGTTTATATGCAAATGCTTTTTGTACCAGTTTGTATGAAAGACTGAAACATCTGAAGTTTTTGGTGTCTGTGTACGGTCCTACACCCAAATCTTCACAGATAGTAAGGAACAACTATATCTTTATCTCATCTTGGAAAATATTTTTGCTTGTAGGAACAATCCAGGTTAACCATCTTCCACTATAGGATACAGTGTGTTTTGTGATTTTTCATTGCAACAGCCTTCATCCTAAATTTATATTTGCTTAATTAATAAGTTTGAAGGTCTGAATTCTAAGATGATTTGCATTTGCTGCTGGAAAGCCCACTTTCAAGTTAATTGAGATATGTCAATTTTCTCACTGGTTACTTTTGAAGGCTTCTCTTTTCGTATTATAAAGTTTTACTTAGTAGTATATTATGTTTCAAATTCTTATTTAGGGTATGGAATGCTTCTTGAATCTATTCTTTAGTCAGTTCTTCTCAGAAATGACTAAAGAATAACTCAGGTTATTATGTCTTCAAATGTTTTGTTTTTGCTGGACCCTGATTGTAACAGAGTATGTCTTTTTTTAGTATTTCACACACAGTTTATGTCTGATAGTTATGTTGGTTGTTTCAATTTACTTATGTTGGGATGTGCCTTAGGTTATCTTTCATTATGATTTTATATTTGCTTTATCTTAGTTTGTGTGAATCTTGAATACCTGAACTAAGTGTCTCCCCTGAAGGAGACTCAGTTTAGTATCCATTTTTTGCTGATTAAAGACTTAGTGTCATCATTACAACACAGTATATTAACAGTATAGTCTTCAGGAGGTGAATGTCTTTGTCTTTGGCATTCACAGCTACCAGCTGTTTTTAACCTTTATTTTTTTTTGAATGATAAGAAACTTTATCAGTGAAAAAGTTGATAATTTAAAACCATATTTAATAAAAGAACCTTATGATATTTTTTATTTAAATTTTAACTAATGAATATGTGTCTCAAAAGTAACCTGATGTTTAACTCAGAACTTTATTCTTGTTCTGTAGATCATACATAACATTCAATATTATGTAAATGTTCTCTTTCCCTGATATGCTATGGAGTAAACAAGATTATCACTTTTTTATGAGATTCACCTTTTGTATTTATTGTTTCCAAAAGTTAATATAATATAAGCATATTGTGATTACATAGTTTTGAATAAGTACAGGTTTTCTTTTGACTAGAAGAACAATGACTATCTGCTTTCTCATGAAAACCTTTGAGTTATCTACAAATATAATTAGAAAGTAATTTTTAAATGCAGAAGAGTTGTTCAACATTACTGTTACATTTTTAATTCGTTCTGTATTCTCTCTCTCTCTCTCTCTCTCTCCTTCCAGTTATCGAATTTACACTGCTCCATTTTTCCTTTTACATCTCTATTATTGTAGTTCCTAATTAAAACAATAGTTTTAATTACGTAGAATGAAGCAAAGTTTTAACAATCTGTTTTATTTTGTAATAAAGACATCTGTATGATGAAATGTAGTAGAACACATTATGTGACTTCAAGGTTATGTGACTTCAAGGATGCTGTTGTATGTCCTTTTGGTAAGCCATGACAGCTCAGGCTTATAGTTCCTTTTTCTTTAACATTTTTGAATACCAAAGTGTTTATAAGTGGCATTAGTTCGATGGCATTTTTCTTTTCTACCACCTCTCCTTTTACTAAGAAAGTAATAAATATAGTACAGTTACCAATATCTGCCAGACTTTTGTTAGTTTTTATGGCAGTTGGAGTAAAGGGAGGGCTTAGCTTTGGGGGTAATCTCAGTAGGAACCACTAAAATATCTTGGAAGGAGGACTGTTAGGCCAAGGTGATATTTTACTTTATGAGATTCTGATAAATATTATAAATATCATAAATCTCATGTCTAATAGGTGATGACAATTTCAAATTTTCTTGACTCTTTGTTGTTGCTTGTTCATTTGTAATACAGTTGAGTGAATTTTCATCCTATTTGTACATTGGTAATTTTGTGGGGAAAAAATGCTTTAGGAGGAATATACTTTCATGTGTATGGTTCCTTTATCAAAGACTGAAAAGACTATAGAGTAGCCCCTTTTCTGCAGAGTGGAGTCATGATGTTTCATGGGACTCAGTTACTTTATGACTCAAGAAATAGATTTTTTAGCCAGACAATGAATATGCTTTTGATTGAAGATATTGGTTTTTCTCAGCTGTGTAGCCCTAATAATTAGGAATGAGATATGGGGTATTCTATAGAAATGTTTCGATTTTCTATTAGGTTCCATCTTCTTGGCACAGTAATAAATACTAATATGGAGTATAATGATCTACCAAGGGTATAAAAATTAATATGACTAAATCAAATTCAGTCATATATACTAGAAATCTACATCCTTTTATCCTTTTGTTTTAAAAGGAGGAAGTATTATTTAAAGACTTTTTGGATAGTTTTCTGTATTTTTACTTATCAGGACATGAGTGATTATTAGAGTTAAAGAAGCAGTGAATTTATAAGTCTTATGAAGGAATACAGTTTTTAAAAATATAAATGAAAAAAAATGAAAAAAAAATATAAATGAAAAAAGGCAGATTTGTGATATTAAGAAACCATGGTTTTACCACATTATAAGCTTAGACTTTTGATGTCAGTGTATTTGTCTCTTATTAAATTCCTATTCTCAGTGACACTGATACAATTAAATTAAAATTGATCCCTTTTGTGGGAATAATTCAACTTCACTTTGTTTCATGAAGTATTTTTAATATGGTACATTAAATAGTTTTTTTTAAAAAAAAACTAGTTATTATACAAACAGATTTGATAAATTGTGGTATAAAGGTATTAAGAATTGCAATGCAAAAAAAATATTGAAACAAGCGTACTTACTGGAAATTTGAATTGATATGGAAAATAATATCATGGCAATGTAATGCACTCCTCTGTGGTGATGTATGTAAGAAATAGTAAAATAAATAAATTTTTAAAAATTGTGATCCATATAAAAAAATAGTTATTAGAATAGAGTTAACTGGAGGGATAGAAGGATTGCAGAGAAATACATAAGTCTCATAATCTGAGAATTCTTGTCTAGGAAACTCTTGGATTGAATACCATGGAATAAAAATAAAGACAGGTATAATTCGCCATTAAATACTTTATAGAAACCTTTTTCTGGTCATAAAAAAGCAAGGCCATAATTTTTCATTTTTTGTATCTAATTTTTCTTTTATATTTATTGATAATTCTGTTGTTCTAATTGAAAGTTCTTTATTTTATCTACTACTAAAATTTTAAGTTAATTTCAGAATAGTCAAATTGTACAAAATAGTTGAGATCTCAAACTTGAAATATTTTAATGCCAAAAATAAATAAGGAGGCTCTTTAGCTACTCTTAGTTAGTATTTAGGGTAATAGGTAAAAGTGATCAAATAAAAATAGTGTTAGCCCAAATAACTTGTAGTAGTTCTCATTAGAAAGTACTAGGCACTTATACTCATTCCTTTATACGCATTTCTTCATTTCATTTGCATAAAATCTCTATTTGTTACATAAAACCCCTATTTGGTACATACTCTTATTATTTCCTTTATTTGATAAAGTAAAAGACTAAACCAGGGACCATCTGACTCATCTCCCCCAAACTGGAAGACATAATCACTTTGAGTTGCCTTTTAAGTAAGAAGTCAGCTACCATATTGCATCCATTGTGGCTTAGCAAAAGTTAACCTAACAACGACCAGAATGGGATCTGTCCAGTTTCTTTTTCTTTTCTCATGTCTTTTATAGCGATTGACAATTTTTTTCATAGAATTTATCTTGATGTTTACTGGCACCCGATTTATTTCAGTCGGTTAGACCAAGAACCCTTAAAAATAGGTTAGAAGTAAAAACTTTTTATAGGCCACATTTCGAGGCCACAGCCTCTACACATAATCTCTTCTGATTGATTACAGGAGCTCTGGAGAAGCAGTCACATTTAGTATAGTAGTAGTTCACTATATTATGGTAACAGTTTGTGTGATTATGTCATTATCTGAAAAAGCTGTATCTGTTGTGTCAACCTGACGAAGCTTGTATATTTTGTGGGTTTTCTGTAATTAAGTGTTTATTTGTCCTATTTGGTTTTCAGACTTGATGCTAACCAAGAGAGTAGTCTAGATAATTAAGAAAGATATAGTATTTCCCTTTGGAAGTTACAGTGTACAAAGTAGTCACAAATAACTGTTACAGTACAAACCATAATCAGTGAATAAAAGGAAAAGGCAACAACTTGAAAGAAGGTACTGTTGATTAGCCATCCTTTTGAAAATTTAATTTTCTTTCTTGAGCCTTTTCTTTCTATTGTCTTGGGTTTTAAAGTGCATTTCATATGTTTTTCTTGTCCTTCTCTCCTTTTTTTTTTGATATGGGTATTATTGACACCTGTGCCTAGAAAAATTATTCCATCATAGCCATTAAGATGTAGTGTTTTGATTCCAATGATTTGAGGGGATACTTTACACTTTCTTTGTGCAAAATTTAGATTTTACCATTGATGTTAGCAAAGTGTGTTATATTTTATATAGTGTTTCCTGTATAAAATCTATTCAGTTAAGTAGTCTGATGTAGTGGTAAAACTCATTCGTGTATGTTTTTACTCTAGTTTGATATGTAAATTTCTTGGATTTTTCAGCATGGAGTTGGGAAAGAAATCCTGATTACAGTTCTCTTTCCCCATTTAAGTTTCTCCTTTTTCTTTTCTTTCTTTCTTTCTTTCTTTTTTTTTTTTTAATTTTCTCAACTGTCAGTGGAATTATTGTCTTCCTGTCTCCATATTCAGGTAGTGTCAGTGGCTGAGTATCACCGCAGGATCGATGCTCTAAATACTGAGGAACTGCGCACACTCTGCAGACGTCTCCAGGTGCCCCCTTCAGTAGTTTAAATCCCTCTGGAGATTGAATACTACCTGTTTTAGTGTCTTTTGTCAGGGCAAATCTCACATTTGAAGGATTTGTTTTGACTGGAGCACTAAAATATCCCACCAGAAAATTCCTTTTGTGTTAAAGAATACAGTATTGCCTTGAAGAGCAATAGGATTAACTTTTCTGTTATCTTTTCATTTGAAACGTGTTCAGAATTTTCTATCATGTTAGAACTTTCCTTAGTACTCTGTTCTTTGAGCAATGAGTTTTCATTTACTTTTAACATTGGAAGAATGTCTTGTGTTTTGTGATTAAATACTTACTGATCAGAATCTGAAAGATGTGAGATGATGGGAAAATTTAAAAATATTAATGGATATCAAGGCTAAGATATTTTCTCTTCTTTAATGCTATTTCAGTTGTATCAACTCCACATCAAATATCTTAATGGGACCAATTGGTTTTTGTTCTTGATGAATTCATTCCTCGTTAATTTTGGAATAATATAGGGTAGGCAGTAGAAGTATATAAATTATTTCAAATTCTGTGAAATAATCTCTGTGATTTTTTTTTACCAAAAAAGAGATATAATTGAAAACTCATTTTTAGTTTTGTTCTTATTAGTTGTATGCTTCTTTCTTTTTAATAAGATTCTTTCATATAATTTATGGCTTTGCTGGACCTACTGAATTTTTTTCTTTTCTTTTAATACTTTCTATTGCTGTCTTGGATATCTTTTTGTCTTCTTTTTTAAACTTTTCACATCATTAAAATAAGAGTAAAACATTATAATGATGTGAAAGAAATAATATTTAGCTTCTTATTAAAGTAATATGGTTATAGAATATGTATTGTTTGAAAGTATATTCTGTTTAGGTTTGGTAAGAAATCTGTTAAAGAAATAAAATCATTTATCAAGATTTTATTTGCACATAGAATCAGCTGCTGAGTTTTGCCGCATTTTAGTTATCTGCTCCAATAGAATACTATATATTTCCCAATTTTAAAGTTTTGTCAGTAACAGTTATTCATCATATGTTTTATTCTCTAATGTTATGTTTTACTTACATAAGTTAATATAAAAAGTAAGTACCAACAAAATGATATATAGTTCTAAGGTTTGCAAAATTAACACTTTTATCATTTTAAGAACACTAGTCACATCATTTCCATCAAGCAAAGCATTAAATTGATCTCGTATTTTAAAAGATTTGCAAATAAATTAACTTTTAAATTTATTGTTTGGTTCAACTTAGATTAAAAAAAATCAGTGTTTAAATGTTAAAAAAAATGGTGGCATTAAAAATGGTTAAGTTTTCAATGAAAAAACTAAATACACATGCATACCAATGAAAATCAAATTGTACTTTTAAATTACTATCCCTTATCTTAAAATTTTGATACCAGAAGTTTTCTTAGTTTTTAAAACTTTTATGTTTCACATGAAAAACAATAATTTTATGTATTTTAAGTAGCATTTAATTAATTAAAAGCAAGCTAGCTGGCTCACTTTTGCACTTTAAGGACTAAAGTTTGCGTGCAACTCTCTTCTATTACACAAAAATATGGGCACTTATTATTCATTACCAGTTCTTCCTTGTATAGTAAATGAGAAAGATGTCTTTTTCTGTTTGTTTGTTGGAAATCTTTTTCTGCATTGAATGTCACTAATAATAGATGGGGCATCTTTTACCTTATAAAATCTTAAGTTGAAACTTTAGCCACCTATTCTGAGGTATAAATTTTTATTTAACTCAAAAGGCTTGAAATGTTTAAAAGTATGTCACAATTTTATATTAATGTACTATTGGTATTTACTCTTTTAGATTACTACAAGAGAAGACTTAAATTCAAAGCAGGTTGCTCCGGTGAAAGCAGACCTGGAGTCTGAATCTTTTCGACCAAATCTAAGTGATCCCAGTGAACTTTTACTGCCAGATCAAATTGAAAAGGTATGATGTGTCCACATATGTACATTACTTGAGGTATGCCTGTGAGAGTAAAACACAGCTATTCAGTTGTGTTTGCAGTGGCAGGATTACTGCTAATACTATTCCTTTTCCATGAAGAGGAAGTAAGCATAATAAATACATGAACCAATGTTAATGGAAGGTATTAGTAGATTTAAATAAACAGACACTTAACAGGCACTTTAGGTGCAACACCAGCCTAGCCAATTTTGGTTTATTATTGTGCTGTTTATGCTTAAAATTATTATCTCATATACTTGTTACAACCACTGTAAGAATTAGATGCTGCTATTTTGTAGTCTTATATAAATAGAGAAATTATTGCCATAGTTGTTCAAGTTCAGCTATGAAGAATTGAAGTTTATATCTGTTAATCTGGCTCCCATGAGAGATGTTTGAATTATCAAACTGACAGTCCATCCGTTATTTATGTTAACTCAATACAGAGGACATAAACAACAAATAATCCATATTTCTTATCTCTAATCTGTCTGATTCAGAATGATTCTTCATTTTCTTAGTTTATAATTAATATTTAATGCTAAGAAATGTGTAATTGCTTTTCAAGCATCTCAGAATCTTTGAGAATGATAAAAATTTCTGTTGTTTTTCCTTTGTAGCCTACATTTATAAGAATGATTAAATTCCAGTTGCTATTAGTATCCTGAATATTGACAATAAGCTATCAAGTAAATGCTGACATTTTGTTTTTCTAAGCTTACCAAGCATCTTCCACCCAGAACAATTGGCTATCCATGGACTCTTGTTTATGGTACTGGGAAGCATGGCACAAGCTTGAAGACTCTTTATCGAACAATGACAGGTTTAGATACCCCAGTACTGATGGTGATTAAAGACAGTGATGGACAGGTATGAAAAATTAACCGCAATACCTTATCCTTTAAGTGACTACAGAGATTATAGTAACAATAACTTTTTATAAATTTAGTTTTTTAATTTTATTTTTTAATTCTTTTAGTCAACAAATCATTTATAAAGGAGCAGTCCACACACTGAAAAAACATTTGCAATACACCTACTTGTTTACAAAATATACAAAGACTGGAAAACTCAACAATTAGCCAATAATGCAATTAAAAATTAACAAAAATACATAAAGCGGTATTTCATTGAAGAGGAAAATCAAATGGACAATAAGCATATAAAAAAATACTCAGCATTATTTGTTGTTAGAGAATTTCGTGTTAAAACCATAATGGGGGACCTCAGAGATTGCCTGTGCTATTATATATATGTATTTGTGTGTGTGTGTGTGTGTATGTGTATACATGTATATATGTATATGTAATTTTTTATTTGAAAATAAAAGTTTTAACAGATAATAAAATAAATCAGTTACTGTGTACCGTATGATAAATGAGAGAATGAACAATTGCAACAAAAGCATTCCAGCAATCTTCTCTCTGAGCCCAACAATAGGACTAGTCAACCTGTTTTCCAAAATATTACATCATCCAACCTATCATTGACCCAATTTTCCTCTGACCTTCATGTCAGATATTCTTTTTTTATAACAATTATATTAAATATATATGGTCTAGATATTATAATTAAAAGGCATAAATGTTAAACGTGTAAAAAGTAAACAATAACTATATTTTCTATACATGTATCACACTTTAAATTTCAATGAACCAATAGGTTAAAAGCAAAAGAAGGGGGAAATAAGCATGAGAAATCTGAAGTAGAGCTATTGACATAAAATATATTTCAAGAAAAAGTATTTTCAGAGATTAAGAGAAACATTCCATAACCATAATAGAGTAACTTCTTAAAGTATTAACAATCCTAAATGTTTATGGACCTTAAAAGAAAATTTCAAAATACATGAAGTAAAATTAATAAAACTGGAAAGAAATCCACAATCATATTTGGAGGTTTTAAGCCCCCTCACTTTGCTAGAAGGAGTAATGATATAGAAGACTTAACAACATTATCAGCCTTCTTGACCTATTTGTTATTTAATAGAGAACTATACACAAAAATAACAAGTAGAAAATTAGTAAGAATAGACTATATTCTGTCATAAAATATGCTTTGAGACATTTAAAAAATTTGAAATCATGCAGACTGTTTCCTGCATCATTTATTACATTAGAAATCAATCACCTTAACCTATATGGAACCCCATCCTCACGTCTCAACTACTTCAAAAAAAATTAAAATAAAATTATAAATATCTCACAGATCAAAGAAGAAAGCACAAGAAAAGTAAATAAAAAATGCTTTGAACTAAGTGGTAATAAATGCTTAATCTCTGGGACAAAATAGTACTCAGATGCACACTTATAACTTAAAGATACTTTGTATCAGAAACAAGCTCAGTTTACAAATTATTTTCAAATTAGGTAGAAGGAAGGAAAAATAGCAGAAATATGTTAAATAGAAAAGAAATAATACAGCTAAAAGTTGATAAAAATCTAACAAATCTAATCAAGAAAAAATATCAATGGAAAGAGAGCTATCAAAACAACCCTATAGATGCTAAAAATGTATTAAGGTAATATTACAATTGAATATTTACAATTATATATCTTATATAACTCAATCTATTTTAAAGGATAGAAACCCCTGCTTGTTTATTTGATCCATGTGAGTGATGTTTTTTCCCATCCTTTTGCCTTCCATCTATATATGTCTTTGCCTATGAGGTGAGTCTCTTGGAGACAACATATTGTTTGTTCTTGTTTTTTAATCCAATCCTGCAGTCTACATTCTTTTGATTATGAGTTTAGGCTAATATTGTTCAAGGCTATTATTGAGATATGATTTGTGATCCTGGTCATTTTGGTTTGTTTGTAGTTTTAAATTTGAATTAGTTTCTCCTTTGATTGATTATTCCTTTAGTGTAGTTCCTCCCTTTGCTGGTTTTCACTTTTTTTTCATCTTCAGGGAATAATTTTGTTGAGAATATTCTGAATGCAGGCTTTCTGGTTGCAAATTCTTTTAATTTTTTTTATCATGGAAGATCTTTATTTCGTCTTCAAATCTGAAGCTTAATTTTGTTTGATATAAGATTCTAGGTTGGCAACCATTTTAGTATATGTTATTCTAGGACCTCCTACCTTTGAGGGTTTGGGTTGAGAAATCATTTGAGACCTAAATTGGTTTCCCACTATATGTAATCTGATATTTTTTTCTTGGCAGACTTTAAAATGTTATCCTTATTCTGTGTGCTAGGCATTTTTATTATAATGTGCCTTGATGTGGGTCTGTTATAATTTTGCCCATTTGGGGTCCTGTTGTAAGTCTCTTGTGTTTGATTTTCCATTTTATTTTTTAACTTTGGGAAATTTTTGATATTATTTCATTGAAAAGATTGTGCATTCCTTGTTTGGATCTCTATGCCTTCATCTATCACTATCCCGATAAATTTTAAATTTGGTCTTTTCATGTTATCCCATAATTCTTGGTAGTTCTGTTCATGTTTTCTTAACATCATCTTTGTGTGGTCAAGTCTATTTTAAGATTACGGATTTTGTCTTCATTGTCTGAGGTTCTGTCTTCCAAGTGGTCTAGTCTGATGGTGATTCTTTCTATTGAATTTTTAATTTGGTTTATTGTTTCCTTCATTTCGAGGATTTCTGTTTGGTTTTTATTTAGAAATCTTTATCTCTTTATTGAAGTAATCTTTTTGCTACCTGTATTTGCTCTCTTACATCCTTTACAGATCAGTTTAACTATGTAAATTCTAAACTCCTTCTCTGCTATTTCTTCCACTGTGATATCAATGGATTCTGTATTGGAGGATATTGGTTTGCTTACAGCGATTTGTTCCCTTGCTTTTTTATGTTGTTTGTGTGTCTACCCATCTAACAGTATGGGTCTGAGGCAATAGAGTTTCTACCCTGTGGACTTACAGTGTCCCTGACAGTTTCTAGTACCTCGATGTTTAGGGGGAGACAAATAACAAACAATGTGAACAATTTACGTTATTAAACCCAATAGTTCTTACTATGAGGTATACAATGTTAATTATCACAATAAACAGAAATGATATGATCAGTTATGCCTCTAATAAAAATAGCAAGTTTGCAAAAGAGTTTGCATTTACAAGAAATAATATAGGATGTTATTATTATGAGGGAGAAGAGGAGAAGATAGAAGTAAAATGTTAAAACATGAAAGAACAATAGGGATTGGCTGATACCAGAAGAAAGCAGAGAATCAAAGGAAACAGGTAGGAGAAAAAGATACACATAAGCAAAAATTTAAATAAAAATAGAATATAAAATAAAACTAAATTTTACTAATCAACCTAGTTCACAAAATACTAATCCATGAAAAATAACTGGCTTCAAAAATGATAGAGGTGAGAAGAAAAAAACATAGTAAACTGTATAGATGTCCATGTACCATTAAGATCACAATTAAACAGTGAAAAATAATTTTTAAAATATCTTGATGAAATGTTAAAGAATTATTTTCCATTGGAGTTCAACATATTCTCACCTTTTTGTCTCAACAGTTTTAGGTGAGGTCTTCTGGAGTGTGATGCTCCCATAGGCGGAATTCCTAGAGTCCAGGTTTAGGCTTAGTCAAGTTCCAGGCTCTTCATTGAATGCCAGTTGGTCTGAATATTTTAAAATAGCACACCTCCCAGGCCCAGTACTTCTTGGTCCACACTGGACGACTTTACCCCAGGGCTTCCCCGAGTTCCACTTGTGTGGTAGGGGAGCCAATTCTTAGTCCCCTAAGACACCTGCAGACCCCACATTTCTTGGTCTCAGGTTCAGTTTCCAAATAATTTCTCCTGACCCTTCCTTGACCCTGCCCTTCAGAGCCAGATGCCTCTTTCCCAGCCAGTCTTGCAAGCAGTGGGATTGGAGGTAGAAGAGTAGAGAGAGAGCCTGGTGGGTTCCTGTGTCCCTTATGTAAACCTCTCTCCACTTTTTATTTTCTTCTGGTCACTGAGGCACACTCTAAGTCATGTAGCATGTGTTCACCGGGCCTATATTTTGGGCAAAACTTGGGTTTGAAAGGAATCGGCTTCCTCAGTTGCCTGCCCCCCCACCACCACAGCTGCAAAATGGTTCCTTCCTTTGCCCTGTCCACACCACCTGGAGACATGGCAGCTTCCTTCCCGATACTTGGATATCCTGTCATGGCCTTCAGGTTTGTTGGACAATGCCCTTGGTCTCTAAACTCTTTGTACCCAGACACACCTCGGGCCTCCCTCAAATCCAGGTTCCTTTAATTCCCTTATCCATCTAGTATGCTCACCATAGGATCTCTATGGCTGGAGCTTCCAGCCCAGCTGTGGCAGCCACTGTGCTGCTGAGGATTTTTTTCTTTATTTTATTATATCCAATCTCCTGTGCCCGCTGTCTGCTTTTAGTGTCCAGGTTCCAATAAAATATCCACCCACCACCTTTTTTTTTTTTTTCACCCACCTTGTGGAGAAGCTGCCTGTCTGCTTTCTTGGCTTCCCACCATGGAACAGTTCTCCTCTACTCTGCCATCTTGGATCTCTCTAACAGTAACTTTTAATATAGTCCTTTGATAAAAATTTTATTGAGTAACCAATAATTATCAGGTTGTTTTTTTGTTTTGTTTTGTTTTGTTTGTTTGTTTGTTGGTTGGTAGTGGGGATTGAACCCAGGGATGCTTTACTACTGAACCATATCCCTAAGTCATTTCTGTTTTTTATTTTGAGACAGGATCTTGCTAAGTTACTTGGGTCTTCCCTAAGTTGCTGAGGCTGGCCTCAAACTTGCAATTCTCCTGCCTCAGCCTTCCAAGTCAGTGGGATTACAGGCATGTACCACTGTACACAGTTATCAGGTACTTTAAAACACACATAGCAATATCAAATATTACATAGATGTATATGAGTGGGAAGTTTTTTTTTCAAAGAGATTGAAATGTGGTATAAAAGAACATTTAATTATATCAATATCACTAATGCTGAGCAAAATATAAGTATAATAAGAACCCAAGAAAGGGGAAAAGTGTTTACAATAAGAGTTGTTCATATTTGGGAAGGAGCTAAGAATGAGGTTCATGCAAAGAGTATGAATTGACAAAGTCCTGAAGCAAGGATAGAGTTTTTAAGAGTTTAGGATAATTTTGTGAGAGTAATAGTAAAAACAAAATCACAGATAAAAGAGAGAAACGTTGCTTTATTCCTAAGTTCATTATTTTTTTAACTCAGGAAAGCCCTGGGGTAAACATTGGTTTATTCCTTACATAGTAAGTTCAGGCTTTTTACCAGCATTGGAAAATAATTAAAAGGTAAATTGCAATATTAATTAAAACAAAATACTGGTACTACTAAAATCTTTCCTACATTTATTCCGTGCCAGATACTTGTCTGATCATACATTATGCTGTTTAATCATTAAAGTCCTATGAGATTAATACTGTTATCCTTTTCTAGTGTTAGCTTGTGCCCATCTTAGTCCATATACATGAACTACATGCATTGGTTGCTCACATAATATTCAATTAAAAAACATACTTAGTAAAGAGTAACTCATGCCAGGTGCAGAGGTACATGCATGTAATCCCAGTAATTTATGTTGCTGAGGCAGGAGGATTGCAAACCCAAGGCTATCCTGGGCAATTTAGGACAAACTATCTCAAAACAAAACAAGGGAGGGTGCTGGGAATGCGGCTTATTTGGTGGCATACCCCTGGGTTCAATCTCCAATAAAATGCACACACACACTCCCACAGTAACTTTTTCATGATTCCAATTATAGAAAGTTCATAAATGAGCAAAATGAATCTGTGGTGGTGTCAGGCTAGCATTGTCCTTTATGAAGGTGGAGCTGGTAATGAGAAGGCAAAGGAGAGCTTCTAAAGTGCCTTTCATATTCTGTGTCTTGGTTTGAATGAACACGATATGGTACTTTGCCTTGTAATAATTCTAAATTGAGCTGCAAATTTTTATATCTGCATATAAAATAACCTTTCAATCAGGGAGTCTTAAAAATTAAGACTGACAGTAAAGATAAAATATCAAGAGAGACGATAATTCTAGAGATTATCTGTCAGACTTTCTACACTTCCATTTTATGTTGTGGATTCTTAAACCTAGAGCGCTGAAATTACTTGACCCAGTGTATATGTATGTATTCTTTTATTAAGGGCATCTACTGTGTATCTTATACTATGCAAGGCCATGGGTTAAAGGGCCAAACTGTTCAGATCAAAGCCTGCCTTTATGGAGTTTTCTAATACTTCCTTAGTTGTAGAATGTTACCTATACTGAAGAATTTTTTCTTTCCTAAGTACTGTGATCCGACAGCAACTTATTGTCCTTATTACATACGTTGTTCTTAGAAGTCCTCCTGAAATTTATTAATCCTTTCTAACATTGCTTGTTTAAAATAAATACTATTTGAGATTTCAAAACAAGAAGGGAACTTTTCTTCATAAGAAAGCCAATACATTTTTGTACTTGATGAGAATGTGAATTATATAATAACTGAAATAACTGATCCTTTTTCCTTTCTTAAGTACAAGGAGATAAAAACTATTCCAGATTCCAGTTTTATTTTTATGTTTTAGTTGAACATTTATGATAAAGGGTAATGCTTAATGAAACAAACTAATAGTCATATCATTGAACATGTCTTTTTTTTTATCCTTAGGTTTTTGGTGCATTAGCATCTGAGCCATTTAAAGTAAGTGATGGTTTTTATGGTACTGGAGAGACCTTTGTTTTTACATTCTGTCCAGAGTTTGAGGTAAGGACAATTTCTCCCATATTCTGTTTATATAAAAAGATGACATAATGGGGAAAATCATACTCATTAACATTCAAGTTCAACATATCAAATCTTCCCTAAGAGATGAAATTATATTTAAAATTGAGGAAAGGAATCTACATAATTGATTTTTTAAAAGGGTGGTATTTAAGAGTTGTAATGAACAAAAGAGGAAGGATTTGATAATACAAAAGAAGTTCTCCAAAAATTCTTGTACTTGCCTCACCAGATTAATCAGTGCTTTCCATTCTTTCCACAAAATATATCAATTAATGTAATTAACTGAAAGCCTGTAGTTGTTACAAATGTTCTAAGCTTCAGTTGTGCTTAGTTTCAGATCCTTTTATGCTATTGTTACCTGATAACTACAGTAATGTGATTAATTAAATAATATGTAACTGAAAATATGAGTATTAAAGTTTTATTGAAAACTATAATGAATACTTTTGAAAATATAGTAAGGGTAAAGTACTAGAAATTGATGTTATTAGGTTTAGGTAAAACAGCCATAAAAGAAGAAAGTACTTAAGAATATTAATGTCTAGTTTTCCCCTCAGCTTTCTCAAATGTTTTTAAGTTCTCACTGCTCTTTAGAGAAGTAGAAACTCAAAATCAGGAATATACATCATGACTATGCTTAATAAAAGAACAATGAACAGCAGCCTATACCCAAAGAAAAAAACCTTAGTCCTGCATCAATTAGTATACTTATGTTTAATGTTATAAGTTAATATTAGAGAGAGAAGTAGGTGAAGGGATGAAATTATATTTAATATTGAGGAAAGGAATCTATCCACATAATTGGTTTTTTAAAAGGGTAAAATTATGTAATTTGAAATTATGTTGTAAACATTGAAACTGAAAGTACCAGATCCTTTTTTGCCAAGCTTTTGTGTTGCTGTTGTTCCTGTTATTATCAGTTCAGACTTTGTTAACTCTTTTTGAATTTTAGAGAATTGTTTATTTATCATTTTTATCTACATATTCAAAACTTTTTTTTTCTTGTTTGTGTAGGTCTTTAAGTGGACAGGAGATAATATGTTTTTTATCAAAGGAGACATGGATTCACTAGCTTTTGGTGGTGGAGGGTAAGCCTCTTGAACTTTTCACCATAAGATTTTGGAAGAAAGCTTTAAAATGCATTTGGATTAATTTTTTAAAAAACAGTTTTCTTTGGAAAATATTAATATTAGAATCTAAACATATGTTATGGCAAAGAAAGTGTATTTATAAAAAAGATACTCGAGTATAGTATTTGAAACTTTGTTAGCTTGTTTCTTTATTTTAAAATGCAGTTTAGCTGATTCTCTTTGAATTTAAACTTTTGTTTTTCTTTTTTTTTTTGAGTATAGTGACTCTTTGATATTTAAAAGACACCTATCTATCTCAATAACTTAGAAGTTATCAATTATTCAAGTAAACATGTTGGTATGTTTTTCCCAATATATAGAGCAAGCTCAATAGTTTTCTTGTTATGTTTTTCTGGAGACTATTTGGATTCATGTTTTAGAAAATAATAGAAATGTTTTTTCCTGCAAAAAAATTTTGTGACTCGCCTAAGTTCTCACCATTTTGCTTATTCTTTAATAGACTGAGTCAGTCTTTTTGATTTTTTTGACGTAACAAGCATTGTAATGAACTTTTGTTTTCTTATTCTAATATCCCAACATCATTCAGTCAATATGTATTATTTAGAGTTATCCTCCTGTGCTACCTCATAGCCTAAACTCACATTATGCTTAACAAGCATCACTTTCTTCCATTGTTATTTCTTTTTATCCTTCAGCCTCTGACATAAGGCTTGCTAAATAATTCCTAGATTTGTAAAAGTGTTACATGATTGTAGCTCACAATTAAGGACATGTAATAATAACTCATTCAGGCCACAGAATCTTATTAGCCTTCAAAATATTCATTATCCTTGTGATTTTAACAAATTTTCTTACAACTTCTTTCTATAAACAGGTTTTTAGAAGACATGATTACAATGATTAAAAAGTAACCATGGTTATTGTAGCTTTCTCAGTTATTTTCAGTTGTTGGACTCAACATATGTTTACTCAGTCCAATTACACATTTTTGGTATGGGGAGTGTCATTTCAGCCTTCCCACAAATGGTTATCTTAACATGTAATTCTTTTAGCTCTGCAAGAAGTTATCACAATCAAGTATTACAATTTCAAGTTGTTATGGGTGCCTTTGAAAATAATATACACAGTGTCATTAGGTGTCTTCTGGAACAAGATCTTGATTAGGAAACATGATTTGACCAAACTAACCATCAGATCATTTGATAATGAGCCAACCTTCCCATCTTATGTTCAGAAAACAGAAACTACAGGGACTTAGTATTCTAGAATTCAAAGCAGGCATCACCCATCTTAATCCATTTGCTATTCCAAAATACCTGAAGCTGGTATTTATAAAAGGTTTATTTATTTCAAAGATGTGGAGTCTGAAGTTTGAGATTTGAACAACTCATTGGTTGGCCTTTGGTGAGTGTTCTCTTAGCTGCATCACATCTAGTAGTGATGTCATTAGAGGTATTCAGGGACCAGGCTTGCTCTAACAACTTGTTTTCATAGGAACTGAGGTCCATGAAAACTGCTTAGGGTAGTACTGCCTTACAAGGACTTGGCCGCCTTCTTCTGGGCCCCACCTGTTAAATGTTTCATTACTCTCAACATGACCATGCTGAGGAATAGGCATCTGGTGCATGGATATTTGGGGAACAGCCTCAAACTGTATCATTTTCAAAAAATTGAAATCATGATGATGTGGGCTTAATGTAGATTTTAGCATCAGATCCTATTCAGATACTTTCAGCATATACTTTATGTAAGACATTGAGCAAACTCCTTCTTAACATTCTAAACTTTCCTCAGTTGTAAATTAGAGGTTAAATCAACTTTATAAGAGATTGTGAGGAAAAGATATTATTCTATAATTTTAGCATAGTATCTACCACATAATAGGTCCTTAACAAATGATAGACACTTTCACTCATTTCCTTCTGCCAATAACCACCTTTTCCCATCTGGTACCATGGCAAGAGTTCTTCCTGGGTTCTTATAATATCGTATATATAAGTTACATAACATTAGTTAAGGATTTAGAAGACTTTTTTGTTCCTTCCACTTTCTTAGCCACTCTATTTTCAGAAAGTCATGGATCATCTTTGAAAGCATTGCTAATATAAAAATACACTTTCTATGTGTTTCACCTTGAATAGATCTAAAACCCTTTTGAATACATTTACCTAAATATTTAGAAGAGAATACATTTACCTAAATATTTAGAAGTCACATTTGAAATGCTGATGAAAGCCATAGAACTGGTAGTCCTTAAATAATTATACAAATCATATTTTTCATCTCATTGAAAATAATCGACAAAAATCTTAAAATTTCTAGTTAGAAGCTTCAGAAAATTCATGCTACCTTGGGATAGATAATAAAGCTTATTGCAGAAGTAATGCCACTTATGAGTGGCTATGAGTGGCTTTGAAGTCACTTTTGAGGTAGTTCTTAGATACAGTCAACTGAAATTAGCTAAATGTCTAATCTTTGTATAAAAAAAAAACACTGTGCCATGACACATACCTATAAATGACTGATAATACTGATGCAGGGGTATCACAATTTTGAGTTCAGTCTGTGCAACTTAGGAGATCCTCTGTCAAAAAAAAAAAATTAAAAGTCTAGGGATGTAGCTCAGTGGTAGAGCAATCCCTACTACTGTAAATTAATACTAATGATGGTAATTAAAAGACCCTTTTATATTTAACAAGTTTAACAAGGAAATATGGAGCTTTTATATTCTCCTAACAGATTGGTTATGGTTAGCTATCCCTACTTAGAAGACATATGGATTCAGATATCACTTAAAGTATATTAATACTATTCGTGACTCTAGAAGACTATTGCTATAAGACAGTGAATTTTTTGATTCAAATAGTTTCTAATTTATCTTCATTTTTTACAGTCATTTTCTGTGACTCATAATATATGCACATAGAAAGTTGCAAATATATATCAAAGAAGAATTCAGATTTGACCTTAAAAATCATGGTTTTCTAATGGAGCATCCATTTAGGAGACCATCTATTTTTATAATGCTTTCAAATTATGGACTTCTCCAGACTGGCATGATTTCAGGGACATGTGTCATAGCAAAGTATTGTTTTTATTTCTAGAGATGGTTCATTAAGTCATTACTATTTATGCCATTGCAGTTTTTTTTTTTTTTTTTCTGTACTGTCAGCTATCCTTTTGAATGATAATGGATGATCTCCTGGTGGCCACATTGTTCAGTCTTTTCTGTTTGGTTCTGAAAAGAGTTTGTAGATTACATTCTACATGGTCAGTGTAGCCACTCTTCTTTGTTTATTCAGAAATATATCTCTATGCCTAGAATATCTGATTCATAATGTTAACTCTCTGATATTTTTGATTACAGAGTATAAATAAATAAATCTTTTTTTCTTCCAAAATAGTGTTAAAAGTAGATTTCTTTTTCACACAAATCACTTATGTACGATGCTGTATAACTTCTGTTGGCAATCCTGAAGGTTAGAAGTTATATCTATTAAATTTTTAGACCTTAGTGGGTCTTTAGAAATTATCTAATCTGCTTTTTTAATGATTTTTATATAATTGTCAAATTTTATTCCAGAGAAGTTAAGTAACTTAAACCCAATTTCACATAGATAGTAGCCCATAAGTCTACAGACTACATTTTTTTTCTTTTTTCACTGAAATATAATTACCCATATTTTAAAAACCCTTATTCTCCTCTGGCTCAGTTCTACTGGCTTGATATCTGAGGTAAATTTTATTATGTTAATAATTACTCTTTGTCCCCCTCTTCTCTTCTGTTAAGTAGAAAAAAGTTCTCCATATGGTAGAAAGAAGTCTTTTTATAACCTGTTTTTTCTCCTTCTGGGAGATATACTATAATTAGATAAATTGGATCTTATCTGTATTTTAGTTCCTATTATATCTGACTTTCGACTTGGTCCCTTTACTTAATAAAGAATCTCAGAATCCTGTCATTATCCATTTAAAGTCTTTTCAAACTGAGCCCTTTAGCTAACTACTTTCTACCCAAACAATCAAAATTTATTTCATGGAGTTTAGCATGTTAGACAAAAATACTGATTTCTCTTACTGGTAATCTACTTTTGACAGCAATTCTTCTGACTTACGTCAAAGAAATATAAGCTTTATTCACCAGTCCTTTAACATTAAAACTGTCTTTTATATTAGATGATACAAAGTTTCATAACTTTTTGTATTGTTAAAAAATATTGAAACCATATAACAAAGAGAAACTAATAATACTAAGTGAAGAATGACAGAGTAACACCTGTCTGAAATATAATTCTATAGGAATTAATTTTAGGGGACTCATTTCATTAATAATAAGTGATGTTATAGTGGCACATGAACAAAAAGTTTCCTGTGTCAGTATTATAAAGGATAGGATAGGGTTTGGAAAAACTAATAATTTTAGAATTGTTGGATATTGAATTAAGTTATTTTAAAATTTAGTGCATGAATATTAAAATTTTTTATTTTTATATATTGCAGAGGAGAATTTGCCCTTTGGCTTGATGGAGATCTCTACCATGGAAGAAGCCATTCTTGTAAAACATTTGGGAATCATACACTTTCTAAGAAGGAAGATTTCTTTATCCAAGACATTGAAATCTGGGCTTTTGAATAAATACAGTGCTGTCTGTCTTAGCAGGATAATGGCCCAAACCTGACATGGACAAGCATTATTTGGAAATGTTCAAGAAGCAATACAATGTAACATGTCACTCATGCTTTAAAATTAGTCTCTATCACCATTTATTACAGCTATAAGTTTAGAATTGATTTTTCAAATCATGTTCTGTCCCAGAGTTCCCTAAGTTTAGACAATGGCCTGGGTCCATGTTGTATAATAACCTGAGTTTGTCAGAATTTTGCCAGCATTTAGATCATAGTCACTACCTTATTTTCAGGTCATGTTATCTCAGTCTTCAAATAGGATGGTGCTCTTTTGTTGAATCTTTTTTTTTTTTAACTGTATTGTTTCTTTTACTAGAGCAGTCAAATTGGGACATTGAGGAAATGAAGTCTAAATACTTTTGTATCTATGAATTTGGAAAAAGTGATATTTGGACCTGCTCATCTTATTTTTATGGAGGAGAAACCACAAGCCAATATAATACATACTTCACAGACCACTGAGTTCTAGTTTAGATTCACACTACAATATTCTCTTTATTAATTTTTCAAGTATTCTCAATTTCATTTTAAGGAAATGAAATTTGAGGAGAATTCTGATTGTAATAGATCACAGTGCACATTATCTGCAGGTTTGGGCACATAGTTTCCTCATTGAATTGAATTATCAGATGCAGAATTATACATTGACAAAGGAGAATGAGAACTTAATGTTTCTATTGGATTTACTATATTAAGCAAGAAATTATACTCTTTACATATTTGTAGCTTATATAGGGCATTATTCAAAAACTATGAAACAATTGCATATTTCTTCAACATATTGTGTCAGTTATTATACTGTTTTATAATTCTGTTGTTTTAGCCTTGTTGCATACCAACTCCAAAAACATAAGTTTTTTTTCTGTTCAAAAGGAAAAACAATCTTGTAGTTTTTATTTTTTGTGACATTTTATTAATTACCATTAGCATTGCTCTTATAAAAGGGCATTGATTATAGTAGACACTATTGTAACTCAGTAGACTTGGTGAATATGCAAACTTATTGTCAAGTGACCTCAAAAAAGAAAAAAAAAGAAAGAATAGAATACACTAGTAGTTCTTATCCTCTTTTGTAGGAAACCAATAATAAGCCATTGTGGCAATAATTCATCAGCTAAATTTCAGAGCTTCATGTTATGCAAAAAAAAAAAAATCCTGCTGTTATTCATGTGACAGTGACTTTGTGCTGAAATTTCAGCTATTCCAGATAAACATTGTATATCTTGTAAATTAATGTTTAAAGGTAGTTTTGTTCATATAGAAAGTGTTAATTGCCAGATTGCTTCCAGCACTTTAAATTATTCTAAAGATGAATTATAAGCCAAATATGTTGGCTTAAGTAGTTTTAGTTGTATAACAATTATATTTAGTTCTTTAAAGTTTATTATATAAAGAAAGCATAATGCTAATCAAAAAGAAAATCTGGTGTTCTATCATAATATGCTATTGACAAATATTAATAGAAACACGGGGCATCATTTCCTTGTCTATATAAAGCTCTATCATTATAAGTTAGTATCAGTATATAGATTAAATGTTTACAAAGTAGGGAATTGTAAATAAATATATCAGTTTTTTTTCCTCCTTTTGGTCTTCCACAGCAGTATTATTGTCTTTGTGGAGTTGACTACTCATAAAATAAATCCTGTAATGGATTTCAAGTACAAGTTCTTAGTGGTGTATACCAAATAAAATTAAATATATAAATACAAATTTGTGTTTGGATTTATTGAATAATCAAGTTATTTTCACATCTGAGAAATCTTTTAATTAAGCATATTTTATTTATCTTTTATTTTTAAAAAGATGCTTCTACTAATTTTATTGATGTTACTAATGGTAGTGGTGGTAATAGTGTTGGAAAGATATATTCAACTAGATGTAGCACTACAGTTTTAGAAAATGGAGATAGAAGGCACTTGACACATGGAAAAGTATGTCATTTGATATTTTTGAGATATGTTTTCATTTTTTGGTGGAGAAACATAACAAAAATAAGCCTCTCATGTTATAAAGAGCTATGTTGTCCACAACACCAAGAAATTTCAATCTTTTTTCATATCTCACAGGAACAACTAAGAACGTGAGTAGAGGAATGAATAACATGGTTACATGTTTAAATTTATACTTTAGGAATAATCTCTGTGAAAAATAGATTCATAGAGGGAAGAAATAGGAAGCAAACAATAATGAGTTTGTTGTAAAATTCAGAGAAAAATGATGATGTCTGAATAAGAATGATAGTATAATGGTGATAAAGGAGGAGGCACAGTTTTGAAAGAGATTTGGGAATTAGGATTATCAAGAGTTAGATATTGATTTCATGTCAGAGAAAATGAGAATAAGCGTAGTTCTCTGGATTTTGACACAGGAACTCAAGTGCATTATTCATCTTGTTATGGTCAGTGTACATAGGAGAAATAATATGATACAAAATGACATTAGTTATGGACTCTCACATGGAGAATCAATTTGCAGATGGCATTTAATATTCCATTCTGAGAGATAAAACATTATACAAATGAATAACATACAAATAGATGTGAACTTATATCTATGTATGAAATGCCTTGGCAGATTATAGGTCACATCAAAAAGAGGGTCCTTGTAATAAATTTTGGTAGTATAGTGACAAGCAGAAGAGAAGTGTCTAAACTCAAGAAGTTAAAAGAACAACAAATTTAACATAAAGAAAATAGAGGGTGAGCCAAAATAAAAAATATAAGCAGAAATCTAAAAATTAAAAGCAAATGTCAAATTTATTTTCTGTTTCAGTTGATTTAAAAGTTCATTTCTCATAGTGTACATTAAAATTTTGAATAATTTTTAAAAATTTACAAATCTTCAAGAAAATAATAAAATTTTACATATCAAAAGTGACAGTAAGGAAGAAAAACCAAAATAAATGATTCTTGTGAAGAAATTAAAAGGAGACATCACTGTAGACCTTAAGAGATGGTATAAACATCTCTTGTGTCATTAAACATGACAATGTAGGGAACATTTAGAAAATGTGGAAAAAAAGAAATTATGACACCTGATCCAAGAAGAAATAAGTTTTTAATTAAATAATTTAAATCTGCTATTTTTTTTTTAAATCACCTTCTTAACAAAAATCCCACCCCCAGATAGTTCCACTGGGTAATTTTTCTAGATAATTAAAGAAAAAATAGTGTCATTCGTAGGTTTCCAACATATTGAGGAAACACTATTTCTCAAATTGCTTTTTGAGGTTAGCATGACCTCAAAGTCAAAACCCTACAACGTTCACAAAAAAATTATAGGAGGATCTGTTAAGAGCATACATGCAAATTTTTAAAATAATCATGTCAAGTCCAGCAATATAAAAAAAAGCAATACTTAATAACCAAATTATTCTAGAAAAGAGTAGTTAACATTTTTTTTCATTTGGGACCATTTACCACATTACAAAAGAAAAAAGAAAAAAATCCATAATATCCTTGTAAAGTCCAGAGAAAGCATTTGATTAAGTTCAATACTTTACTTACCTGTTTCTATGATTTAAAAAAAAAAAAAGCCAACAAGCAAAGAAGGGAATTTTTGCTCAATCTGCTTAAAACAACAAAACAGAAAATATCTTTGAAAAATGTACAGGAAGTGTACTTAATGATGAGTTATTGAAACAAACCTTCCTCTCTTGAGATGGGAAACCAAACAATAACAACCACTACATGGCTTCTATTCAGCATTGTTCTAGAAATTCTAACTGGTGCAATAGATCAGGAAAGAAAAAAAATAATACATAGGACAGGAAGAAAGACATTTAAATGTCATTGAATAAAGTATGGTTATTGACCGAAAATTCTGAAGAGATCAAACTATTGGAATTATTTGATTATCAGTGGCACTGATTATAAGCTTGATACTCAAAATGGAACCAAAAAATCCATTTTTATGTACAAAGAAGTAGAAAATCTAAAGTATTACTATTTTGCAATAACACTGAAAATATCAACTAAATATCCAAAAAATGAACATCTGTGTAGGAAGGATATACCATATTTATGATGACAGAGAACACTGAAAGATGTCAGTTCTGTAAAAATCAATATTGATAAGTGAAAAATATCAACTTTATATTTGTGAAAATTAAGCTATTCTAGAATATATGTGGAAATGTAAAGGCTAAGAGTAAGGCAACATGAAGAACAAGCGTGTGACATTTCCATACAGATAGCTATTAAAAAACTTGAGTAAGACAGGTACTATTAGAAGTCTGATTTTTCTTTTTTTAAAGCTAATAATACTACTGCCCAGTAAAGGGAATATTTTTTTCTTTTTTTTTTCTTGGAGAAGTGAGGGAGAGAGTTTTTTAATACTTATTTTTTAGTTTTTGGTGGACACAACATCTTTGTATGTGGTGCTGAGGATCAAACCCGGCCACAAGCATGCCAGGCGAGTGCGCTACCGCTTGAGCCACATCCCCAACCCTGGGAATATTTTTTTTCAGTAAATGGTGCTACATTAATTGGATATCTGTTTGGAATAGAAAAACTTAACTCACCACAAATAAGAATTATATATTGTAGGTTTAATTGTGAAAAGTAAATCAATAAAGCTGTTTTAAAAAAAGTGGAAAATGTCTTCATAACCTTAGGATAGGCTTAAATTTCTTAAGTGGGATACAAAAAGCACTAAGGATCAGAGGAGAAAAAAGATGGTATAAAGGAGAAAACGTGGTATAACGTTAATTTTTTTTTTTTAAAGAGAGAGTGAGAGAGGAGAGACAGAATTTTTAATGTTTTATTGTTTAGTTCTCGGCTGACAGAACATCTTTGTTGGTATGTGGTGCTGAGGATCCAACCCGGGTCGCACGCATGCCAGGCGAGCGCGCTACCGCTTGAGCCACACCCCTAGCCCACGTTAAAATTTTTAAGCACTTTATCAAAAAGCATTATTTAAAGTGAAAAGACAACCAACAAGTATAAAGTTTTTGTAATAAGTCTAATAACTCATTCACAATATAGAAATGACTACAAATCAAAAGACCTGCTCAGCAAAGGAAAAGTCACAGGACTTTAATACATTGTGTCCCATCATCCTACATGGAATTGAACACTTGGGACTTAATGGGTTAACCCAAGACTATTAAAACAATAAAAGCTTTATTAAAGGGGAATGCAAGATCACATTTAGAAAACTTTTTCTGCTACATTTACTAAAACTAAGCATGTTCATACCTTTGACCAGAAAATTTTAATTACTGAATAGTATGCACCCATAGTAATATATATATTTGTTTACCCAGATATATGTAAAATATTTAGAAGCTCCCAAATAAAGCTCTACAAACAGATGTGTTCTGAGAAGTGTATCTCTCCTCTCAATTATACCCATCCCTTCAGGAAATTGACTTATTTCTGCTTATACTGTTTTCAAACTATATAAACATTTATAAATATATAATCCAGTGTGCATATATTTTTATAACTTTATTATTTTTTTATGTGGTGCTGAGGATTCAATCCAGTACCTCATACATGCTAGGCAAGTGCTCTACCACTGAGCAACAACCCCAGCCCTGTGTGCATATATTTATGTTTACAAATACATATACACTATTCCTGTTTCTAATAAGGAAAAGAAGGAACTCGGGTTCAGAAATGAAAAAGCAGAAGGCAAACCAAGAGAATAGATGTGGCCTCATTTTGTCAGTGGTAGGAAGAAAAAAAACCCTAAGCTCTGAACTTCCTTGTGTTCTAAGTGGGCAGAGTCACAAGAAGGTGAACTTTGAAATCAGGAGTCAGAAAACTTCCAAGTTATGTAAGTTTAGAGCAATAAAATATTTGGATGGAGGTCCAAACAGGGTGAAGAAGTATGTATCAACAGTACAAAATTCTTTGACCATTGGAAAGTTTTGAAAAGGGAAATTCTGAAAATTGCTAAATTAATTGAACTGTTATTGGGAATTTAGAAATATCTGTGATAATTATTTTGTGTGTTTGGGTGACTGTAAAAAATACTCATAAGAACTTCCATTAGCATGTGTGATTAGTTTTTTTTTTTTTTTCAAATTGTCCTAAGTTTTCCAACTGAATTTCTCCTATCATGGAGTTTTTAGAATAATAATCATTTGGTTAATGAGAAAACATTTTTTTTTAATTCCAAGTCAAGAAACAGTGTTAGGACAGATGGCTTAAAGTATCCAGATAACAATAATAAAGAAAAAAATCTACAAACCATGAGCTATTTTTTGTGTCACACTCTGAAGAGGATGCCTATTCTCACAAGCTGCTTCTCAGTCTAAGCCTATTAGTTGTCAGGCATTTTTATTCAAGGAAACTCACTTCTGACTTGAGAGCCAGACTTTATCCATAGATCTTAGTGATTGTCAGCTCTCTAAGAAGAGGTCTTCCACATCATCCTCAAATTCGAACAAATCAAACTAAATAATCTGTGTCAGTGCCTGTTTAAGCTGTTTTTGTTCAGAGTTGAGTATGAGGGAACACTTGAATTCTGGTCTCAGTATTCTATAATACTAGGAGTAACCTCAGTTACGCCCTGAAATTTTATTGTATTTCAAACACAAGAAAGTGATATTGTGGGATATAATCTAAAATAGTATATAACAAGAAAAATAAGAAAACATGTTTTGTTCTTTAGCCATTGGCTTTGAAATTTTGACATAGATTTCACTGTTGTAACAGAAGTGTGTTTCTTATATAAAATTGTATTTAGAAATATTAGTCATT